ACCATGTCGGCATGGGGGTACGATATAACGCTGAGAAGAAGAAAATTGGGATGTACTATACGACGCCTCTGTACGAATTTCGAATGAAATGCCATTTGTGTGATAATTACTTTGTAATAAGAACGGATCCAAAGGTTGGTTCCGCTGCACAGATCCCCCAGAAAAATTGTAAACTGTATTTCACTTCAGAATTTCGACTATGAATTGGTTGAAGGATGTACACGACAAGAAAAACGTTTTGAACCTTCTGAAATTGATCAAGTCGACACGGCTGATAGCGCTTTCAGCCATAAACTTGCTGCAGATGCAATGTTCAAAACTGAACATCAAGAGGATGTAAGACTCATGCGAAATAGCAAGCAGACTTGAGAGGAAATCATCATATACATTATAGGATAAAAGCAAAGCTACAAACGATGAATCTCGGATGGAGAAGATTGAATGGGTTCAGGAGAGGCTTCGCGACGACTTCGCTGCGAATCAAGCACTTCGAGCACAGTTCAGGGTATGAATACTGAAAGTCTGAAATGTACTTAGATGTTTGCTTCACTTCTGGACATTTGCAAAAACTTGAGCGTGCTGCTGTTAGTACATAAAAAGCAATAAAAGCAGGACTTCCGTTCGGCACTGCTGGAGTTCTTATTGCGCTTGATAGTTCGATGTCTTCCTTGTTGTAAGATTTTTTGGGTGGCTAAAGCAGGTGCTTTAATTAATGCGGACGAAATAATTCGACCTTGCCCTAAAACAAGTTCGCTATCACTTGCTGTAACAATTCTCATGTTAACTATGCTACAAATGCTGTATCCGCGTCTTCCAGAGAGAAAAGAAAGAACTCACTGAAAAGAGGGCTCGAGATGACGATCTTCGCGCTCGATGCTCCCTGAGTATAGCACTAGCTCCAGAAGATCCAAACGACAAGAAAGTAGCTGGCATGCTGACGCGATATCGAACAGTAAAAAGTAAGATTTGGTGCAATTTAGCCTTTGCATTATTGCGTTATTTAAACTTTATGAAATTGTATCCCATAAATATTCATTTTCAGCTTATGATGAGCGTTTGGAAGAAAGACGTAATGAGATAACTGCAAAGCGGATA